AGTTGACCTAGCTGGCCTCGACTGGCAAAAACAATGTCAATCGAGCAAGGTTTGCATCGTTTATTGCGAGTGTTTAAGCTGGCAAAATCAATGTATACGGTCGGGTCCAAACAAAACAAGTCCCTCATACATGTCGAAAGCTTTCAACGCACGTGTAAAGACTTGTGAAAGCTAACAAGCATATGCATATAACTGAACATCGACATCGCTGAATGAACGTTGCGCTCATTGTGTTGCGGCGTTCCGAGTTTAATAGCTTGGCTTCAGGACAAGGGTCCGATTCTGCCGTCAGATGCGGCGCTTGCCCTGTAGTATTGATCTTGATTTAAGTGAATGCATGATGTAGAATCGGGAAGAAAACTTGCACATTGCCGATAGATAGCTTGCGTAGTGAGGGCAATGTAGTTTTGCTAAATTTGTTAAATGAGCAATTGCAGATGCGTGCATTTCTGAATTTTTTCGCTCTGCAATGCTACATTGAGTACTTCACAATTGTGCAATGTCGGGTCGTGTCGACAGGGTAGGCACTAGTTTTAATTCTCAGCCATGAGCCCATATCATAGGTAATATGTATTTAGGTGATGGGCCTGAAAATTATTTCAGGCTTGCTACATCTATTGTTAGAGTTGAGTTGCACAATTACTAGAGCTAGAATTTCTCGTTGCTGGTAATGACCGGTCTGCTGAGTATGCAGCAAACATGTATGCTAACGGAACACTTATGAAGTGTGTGCTTACAGATCGAAAAGGCCCAATTCTAAGAAAGTAAGCTTTAGGCATGCATTGTACAATTTTGTTGTTTGTACATCTTTGTTGGTGCTCTTACAGTACACTATCTGCTCAACTCTGAGCACAATCTCTTTTTTGCATAGACATATCGATAGAACATTGAGCACTCTCTTGCAAGCAAGCACTCTTGAAATTATTTGGTGGTACATGATGTGAATCTCTCCGAATACTAGATTAATAAAGGGCACATTTATTACACACTTGTTATTGTGTTTAATTTTTCAGTATACTTGGGCTTGAAAGCTGAAGTTGTTTTCTCTCTGCTACTTTTAAAGGTTATGACTTGAAATACGTACTATCTTGCAGTGTGACAGTGGATAAGCCAAGATCATGTATGTTTCAACTACCTGTGCGATTTCTTAGATTGTTCATGACCATAGTGCACAGAATTTCACTTCATAGTGGTAGACACTTTAGTTATGACAACTTAATTTAAACAGAAGCAGATGTGCTCAAAGAAATCTGGGATGTTTCTCTGCTAAATTAAAAAAAAAAAAAACAGTACCACATCCAAGGAACACAATCTTGCTCTTCACGACAGCATTCACGTCTTTGAGGAAGCTGTGCTGCAAGTACTCATCACCTTTTTGATTTATTATTTTAGGAGCCCATTGAATATATGTGCAAAGCTAAAGCAATGAAGTGCAGCCCTATGAGCTTTGGCACATCTTTTTGTAAACTTGTATGAGCTAAACACAGTTACTTAAGACAAAACAGTTCTGGGTGTTGTTTGTAAACTGTCACAAGGCTCAACTAAATGTCGGAAAGCCTGTTAATGGCCCTCACTGTGGGGGTGTTCATTTAGTTATGCAGATAATAATTTCTGACAATTCACATGCCAACTATGAATTGATCGTGAGTTGTACAGTAGTGGGCAAATTTAGGATTGATTCTGGCTTCCAGAGGTTAAAACAAATGACATCATAGCCTCGCAGGCGACAAGACTGCTTGTCGAAACATTTGCTCTGACACCTCATGTTCATAGATTTTTCATATTTTCAAGCTTCCATCTTTTAAGGGTCTGTTTAGTTCACCTGCACCAGTTGGAACTGGTTCACAGCTGTGCACGAGAAGTGCAGAACTTGTGCAACATGAGTTCAGCAGTGCGGCATCGCAAGTGAATGACAAGGTGCCGACAAGGACGGAATTCTTATTTTTGTTTGCTTAATTTACTGTGGTGCAAACATCTTGGCAAAACATGCCCCGTTTGTAGAGGTGGGTATGGTACCTACGTCTAATGCTATCTTGTTTGTTAAGCTGTGCGTGCGGCTGAACCAAACCAGCGCCGTCAGAGTAAGAGGTACATAAAAATTATGAACTAGTTTTGGTGCTGTACCCTTCCTGCACTTTTTGAAATAAATGGCACGGTTTAGAGGATGACATTGATGCACCACTGAAATGAATGGCGGGGTGCAGCACTTTGTAAAATGGATCATGTGTGCAGGCGTATCGAACAAGTCCTTAAGCTCACAAGCGTCTTAGCGCTTCACCCTCATCGAAATATGGCCACTGTGGCTGCGATCAAACAGTGTGTTTGAGCTCAGCAGTGCCACACAATCTAACTAATAGTGTTAAAGTTTCAACATTATTGAAGTATAGATTCCATGCCACGGTAGACAGCCAATGCTTGTGGCCAACCTGAAGCACCCCTCCACTCTATGCGGGGTAAAACATTCACAAATACAGCATTGAATGTGTGAGGTTCCAGATGACCTGTTGTAGTGGACATTCAGATGTTTCAACGTGCTTGCTGAGTGGACATTCGGGGGTCGTCATCCTGTTGCTGCATGGCAGTCCTGGAAAAGCAAGTAACATCACCAGATATCAATGCATGAAATCAATGCATAATCATGAAATTTTTTAAAGTAAACAAATAAACTCAGTTAACTAGTAAATAGTAGTATTTTGTACATATATGTAATGGTACCTCAAAACACGTGCATCACTCAGGGCTGCTTCTTCACAAGGCATGTCATGTAGCAGGTTCCTTGCCCATTGTGCACAGCTGCTCCCATGTCAGGTGGGCCAGGAGGCTGTGGCAGAAAAAGAAGTATTTCTCATTTATGTGACGCTTTCTTTGTCACACTAAAGCAAAACCAGACCCATAATTATGTGATGTTTCTCAAATGCGACTGCAGTAAACTATTAACTAGTAGGTTTTTGGCACTAATATATGGGCTAGCTACGAAGACACATGCGAGGCGACAGTGATTTATTTGCCTTCTTTTATTGCAACAGCCTGGTTGGTGTTACCTGGCGATAGAATTTCAGAATTAACTATTGAGTCGGCGATTCGTTCCTACATGAAGCCATGCCACAAGTAACGCACGTTTTTCCGGTGACAGATCGAGATGTTAAAAATTTTAAAATTTAATATTGCAATGTGCTGCCACGGTGTCACGCCTACGCAGTCATTGGCAAAAAAACTACATATGTTGAAATGAACCAACTAGCCCCGCAAGCAACCGTCCTTAAATAACTAGTCGTTTCTACTCACTGGCCCGGACTTGTAAAGGGTATTCATTCGATGAAAGGTTCAATGGTCACTTCATTCTCCGGAAGTCACTTGAATTTCCTTTGTGAAAGCATTTGAACGAGTCAAAATAAACAGAACGAGAAAGGGTGTGTCGATCGGCAGGGGCTCGAAATATTTACAGCGAAACAAAACAGTCCGAGACACATCCGAACGTAGCGCGAGCCGTTACCTCCCGTTGCAACCGTTGGCTGTCGTATACTTTGAAATGAGGATAATGATGTCAATAGGCTGCTCCTGACCTCGAGTCAGCTGGAGCAAAAACTATTACAAAGAATTGATGACGCAGCACATGTTTAAGAAAAACTACTTGCTAGAAGAAAAAGATGTTTTTTATGTGTATCAGTAGTTAAAGATGCAGTATTTGGTAATTGTAGAATTAAAATTTGGCCCCAACGAGGGTGCCCCTACAAGAAAGTGCAATAGCGCGAGTGGCGAGAGAGGTTAGTAAATCCACTCTGGGTGTTTGAAGCAGAAGCGCGCCGCGGTTCATTTTTTCGCCCCCTAGAGGTGATCACTTGAACTTGGGAGTTTCCGGGGCCTGACTAACGCAATCGTTCCAGTGAAAGCCGAAGGCACACTATTCTCCTATTGAAAGATATGCGCGTGCGCACAAGCATCAACCCCCGCCCCCTCATCCGCGGGGCAAAGTGCGCGCCAGAGATAAGCGCGCGTTGGCGCATTGCGACGAGCTGGTCACAGAGCGCAGGCGGCCTTTTTTAGATAAGTAAACATATACGGCGAATGACGGCGGTGGCGGTGACGGCAAAAAACCAGCTAAGACTGTCAATAACAAAGGGGGCAGACTTGTTTTGGCATTCCTGTCAAGAGAATCTAGTAGGGAGCAAAGCTTTGACCCGCACTTTTGCGGCAGCCAGCTGCGCCGTCCCGTCCGTTCACGTGTGTCCCAGTAAGACATACATAAGCTGTTTTGAAAGAAATAAATTCTGCTAGTTGTGTTGATCCTTTGAGACTCTCACCTTAGTGGAAACCCTATCTTCGTGTGTTCGGCCACTCCAAGCCGACGGCAACGCTCATGTTTGCGCTTGCGGTTGAGACTTCCCACCCCCACCCCCTCTTGTTTTTTGTGATGTGTTTTTTAGTTTGTTGGTCCTTGATTTATTGTTTGGTGCCTAAAAAATAGGAACAAATAATTCAGCCTTCCCCCCCCCCCCCCCCCTCCGCTGTTGAAATCTCCCGTATTCAGAATTCTTGAACTTGGCAGGTATGCTATTGCGTTCATTGCTTCACCTTTGTGGCAAAGCTGTGACTTCATTTCTTTTTCCTGAGAGGACAGGCACTTAAAATTTCACTTAATGATACGCTTGCAGCATTTACGATTCAATTACATGATTACAAGGCAAAAAGCTACTACAGTAGACTCTTAGTAAACGGAAGTCTGTTTAACGGAACTGCTGATCAAATGATTGCTGCTTAAATGGAACAAATGCTTATGGCAAGATTGGTTTCGTTCTTGCATTGTGTGTTAATGTTCATCTCTCAGTAAATGAAACTCCTGTTAAACGGAACGCATTTTACTGGTCTCTTCAGGTTCCACTTAATGAGAGTCTATTGTAATTACAGTAAAAAAAAGTCGTGAACAAAAATTTTGCAGGTCAGGGTTTCTTAAACTAATCTATGAACCTAAGCGAAGTGCTCATCCAGTGTGCCATGTGCAGGCAGAGAAGGAGGAGATTGCCCAGTTGCTCCAGTTTGAGTCTTCCCTTCGGCCAGCTGGTGAAAGGGTCACCCTTTCCGACTACTGTGCGCGCATGAAGGAGGGCCAGCGTGACATCTACTACCTAGCTGCCCCAAGCCGTCAGTTGGCAGAGACGTCCCCTTACTTCGAGGCGGTGCGGGCACGAGACGTGGAGGTTCTGTTTTGCCTCGAGCCCTACGACGAGTTGTTGCTGGCACAGCTGCGCCAGTTTGGTCGCAAGAACATCACCTCGGTCGAGAAGGAGATGCGCAGGGATGCCGAGGAGTCTCACCCGGAACCAGCCGAAGTGCAAGGCCTGGCCGAGTGGCTCAAGACAGAGCTGGGGCCCATGGTACACAAGGTACGAAAGTGCTCTCTGGCAAATACGTAAGCGTTGCGTTCAACTAAACAGCACTACCGACACGGCCGTTATGAGAGCATATGTCAAGCAACCAACATTCCATGGAAATTTCCAGACAACAACAAAAAGGCACTGCATTAGGCTCATAATAATTTGAACTCAAAGCTACCTTAGTATTTAGTTTGAATTATTAGAATTACTCATAAGTTTGACTATATATCATAAAATTGACTATGATATATAGTCTATATATCAACTTATGTTGTAGTGTGTATTCCTCAGGGCCACTGCAACATCGGAGACACCCGTGAATGATTTCCTGCAAAGTATTCTGGGGTGTGCGAATTGAACTTTCGAAAAATTTTCAAATACACTAGTGATTGTTATTCGGTTTAGTTTTCTTTGGAACTTTGCAATTTGAATGACTCGAAAATTTCCAGAAAAAAAAATTTCATAAGTTGTAGTAGCAAAAAATTGGCATTGAGCATGCTTGGTCAGTGCAGTTTGAGGTGCCAACAAACAGAACTACTAACCACTTCCACCAGGTGCTCCAAGTGGTCATTGCACTATGAGCTTGATTAGGGAGTCCATTGCAGGTGCATTAAAATCCTATCGAGAGTTCCGAGGAGCCAGGAGGCAATGCATTTCGTTGCTTGTAAAGAGCACATTGTGATTTTTTTGCTTTCTCATGTTTTGCTTTCACATGTCTGCTAGGGTGATGTCCTTGTTCACAAAGTTCGAATTCGTGTTGTACATCAGTGCCGTGAGCGTAGTATTCCCGTCTGCAGTCCCCAATGGTTCAAAGTGCATAATGCTTGATTTCAAGTACAAATAGCTGCTCTACTATGGTCTTTGTCATGAAGTCCAAATTGTTAGTAAGGAGAACTTCTAACTGCAGGTCCCATGAGTCAACAATATTTACAGGCAGGCCGAGATGCATGTCTGCAATGTTTACGGCGAGCGCAGTACACTATCGCAATCTGATTATTAAGGTTCCACTGGCAGGTGCCAAACTAAAGCATAAATATACTCTAAAATAATCATTTACTTGGGCTCGCACAACACACCATGGTGAATGGTAAGACTTTATTTTATCAGAAAGCAACTGCAGACGATTCTGTCTTAGATGGCCATCACCCCAAGGTTGACGGCGCCCTGTGTGGCCCAATCCAAGATCCCTTTTATATATGAATATGTGTGACATGGCAAATCAATTATGGGTAATGGACAATATGATGGAAGCTCTAGGAATGCAGAAACGGCCTAGACAGGACACAGGTTTCTCAAGAAAGTGCTTAGGTATTTGTTCAACGTACTGTGCTAATTAGGGTGAAACCTTAAAGGTGACATATACTGTATTTACTCGCATAATCCTTGCGCTTTTTTTGGTGCAAAATCGATGCAAGTTAGGGAGTGCGAGAATTACGTGGGGGAAACTTTCCTAAAAACGTACAGAGCAAAAAAGAAAACGAAGTGGCCGCAAATGGGCATTCTGACACCAGCAACTAACAGCAAGCTTTGAGAAGTACTAATTAAAACTTATCTCAACAATAAAAGCACAGGTTCAACACAACACAAGATTTATTTCAGAAACAAAAAGGGCAAGCAAATAGTCGAGAATTAGAATACCATACGAAAATCTTCTGGGCGTAGCAGTAGCGTTCGTCGCTCAACAGGAGCCCTCAAAAGGTAAGCCTAGGACGTCAGTATTGGGCTCATAACTATTTAGCAGAATCGTCAGGAGTTTCCTTCTGAGGAATTAAAGTTTATTATAAATCCCATTTTTAGGCACACGGCACGCCCAACGCGTCTTGGTAGCTTTCAGATGCCGTCACCAGTAGCGAACACAAAACTCGTATGCTCCAAAAAGCCTACTGGCGGCCCTTTTGCCATTGTTTAGAATTTGACCTACCACTCTCAACTTGAACACAGCCGTGTAGCTTCGGTATCGCCCCATAGCGTGTAAAGATTACAGACACAACATACAAAACACGCCGTAACGCGCACTTGCAACTTTGGCTTAGCTTGGATTGGATTTAATCACCGTGCAATAATAGTACGCTTTATGCTTAAGAGATGGCACGCATTATCATCATCAGTGGCTGGAACGAGCAGACGACATTATTGCGGCAGTTTTCAGGGGTGCGATATTTACTCTAGGGAAAAGAAAAACGTATTTTTGTTGGGCGATGTGGAGGGTGCGAGAATTATGCAAGTGCAAGGATTACGAAAGTAAATACGGTATACAAAGAACTTTATTAAAGCACCGGAAAGACAAGGTGAAGCTTTTTTCTACTTTATTTTGATGAAATGCTACTTACATGTGTGTCTGGTGGCATCCTCTCATTACAGGTAAAAGTGACACGACGGCTACAAAAACATCCGTGCCTGGTGTCCGTTGAGGAGATGGCAGCTGCACGTCACTTCGTGAAAACATCACTGCAAAGCTTCTCAGAAGAAGAGCGCTACCGCCTCCTTGAGCCTACGCTGGAGATAAATCTAGAGCACCCAATCATCACAAAACTTTCTGCACTTCGTACATCAGAACCTGAGCTGGCGAAAAAACTTGCGAGGCAGGTTTTCGGCAATGCTATGCTCACAGCTGGTTTAGTGGACGACCCCCGGAAGGTCACCTCAGAGCTAAATGATTTGTTGACTGCACTTCTGGAGAAGCTCTGAAATAAGTGGACACTGAGTAGTAGCGTAACAGCATTGTATTAATATCATTTTCTAAGCATGAACTTCCGACATGTTTGTGCATGGATGTTCTGGAAACGGCTTGATAGCCCATCCAAAACAGTCCCAAGTGGCCATTAGTTGCAATTTCACCATGTTTGATTTCTGTTCGTTTGCTTTGTCAGTCACTTTACGAAAGATGAAATGACCAAAGGTATCTTTTAAGCAAATTGATATCTGCGATCTCTGAAGCACGTTTTAATGCATTGATATTTGGGTCAATGTATTGCTTCATTCATACTAAGCCATACAAGATGAGCTCAACGACCACAAACAAGGAAGATACATTTTGAAGAAAGCTACATTAGACGCTGACGTGAATGAAACTGGTTGAGGATGTCTATTCTCTACGACTCTTATGTATGCTTGCGACAGGGGAGTAGTGTGAACCATTCTAGGAGCTACAATGATAACGAAGTGGCACAGCTCACTCTAAATCTATGTGTTGACTATAGCTGATGTTAGAAATTCCTTGTCATCTTGGGATCCTCTTACAAGCTATTATTGAAGCAGCAACAATGCACGGTGAGGATAGACACTACTCCTATGTGTACAGGCAGGCATATGAGATTAGGAAAGGAATCATGCATTTTGAATGTGTTTTCATGTGCCCATGGCAGTCAATTTTAAATAAAGGTGTTGTCTTTTTCTCCCCCATATGTTCACTTCATCTGTCCAGATTTTTCATTGCCATAAAACACTCCATCCATGCAGTTGGGTCCTTCGACTGCAGAGACAAGATAAGGTCATTGACAAATAAAGTATTCTTCGCACGGTGCCGCCTGGGGCATTAATGTCCCGAAGAATTTCATAGTGTAGGGTTACACCCTAACTACAAGGCAAGCACGCAACTACGCCAAAGCGAACTTTTGCAAATGAACAAGCTGGATATGTTGATGCCTCATCAATGAAGCAACTTGCGCACTCAAGAGTGCGAAGGGAATAGTGCACAACCTATCGAGCTACAGCCCGAATAGTGCGGAACTCGATGTGCCGCACTTGAGCCTAAATTTTAATGTTGGCCTGGCATCCACGCAAAGAAAGTTGTCTGTGCTCTGGAAAGGGCTGTCAGTCGTTTGGAACCCTCCCGCCGTGACAAAGCCCCACCTGTGTCATAAGTGTTCTCTCGAACATCCGCTCAAGGGCACATGATTACCCGCTCACGCCTGAACAACATAGTGCCATCAAGAGCCTTTGTAATAACAAGGACATCAAGGTGCTCAACGCAGACAAGGGCTATGCGACCGTCATAATAAATAAAAGTGACTATGACAAGAAAATGCTGCCGTTTATTTCTGACGAAGACATGTGCACTCGTCTTGAGAATGACCTTACGTCAAGACTGCTGAAGGATTTTTAAAACCTTCTTGCCAGTGTGTTCTGGGTTATTCCAGCCCAACAGAAGATTCTCTATTATAGGCAACGGCTCTGCTCTTGCACTCTACAGCGTCCCTTGAAATCCACAAGCCTGGTGTCCCATTACGACCCATTGTGGACTTCACCCGGTCTCCTCTCTACAGGCTTTCTGGCTACCTGCATCAACTGATGTCTTTTCTAGTCGGTGAGAGTAACACTCATGTCTAGAATTCAAGCCACTTCATTGAAAAAGCCAAGGGCCTTTCCTGAGATGACAGTGCAGTCATGATCTCATTTGACATGGGGTCACTTTTCATACTGTGTCCATTCATTTGCCAGTTGAAGTTTGCAAGGAGGCCATAGAATGTGACCCTACTCTCGCTGAAAGAATGCCAACTGACTTGCCAGACCTTGTGAGACATCTACACTTCTGTCTGTCCAATACATACTTTGTTTTCAAGGCAAATTTTATAGACAAGTCCTTGGGTGCCTCAATCTCGGTCATTGCTGGCAAGTTTACTATGAAATCTGTGGAATGCCGAGCACTGTCATCTTTCTTTCCAGCCCCGAAGATTTTGTTGTTACGTTTATGTTTCTTCTTTTAACGTCAAGAAAGAAGATTCGTAGCTGTTTGCACGACGCCTGAATTGCATTGAGGAGCCCCCACAGTTTAGCATTGAAGAGGAAAATAATAGACAGTTGCCCTTTCTCGATGTTCAGGTGAAACGCGATGGTGTTGCGCCTTCTTTCGCTGTCTCTAAAAAGTACATGCACACTGGCCGTTATTAGCACTTCAATTAGGTACACCCTGCAGCACACAAGAGGTTTGTTGTGTTGTCTTTAATGCAGCGTGCCCACAGCATTTGCATCAAGTCTGTTGACCGATCCTCTGACATTGAACGTGTACGTCGTGACCTGTTGGGAAGTGTCTACCTGGACTCCTTTGTGTCATCCCTGCAACGTAAGTTGGAGTGCCCTTCCACCACCCCATCACAATGCTCTAAACGATCCAGTATATACCTTACAAGCCTGGTGATCTACGCAAGTACGACATACACGTAGCTCATATACCTACGCGCAAGCTAAATCACACTCTCGTCATTATGAAAGACAAATTACGAAAAGAGTGCTTTCCTGGTGCTGTGTATGAGGTTCCGTGTGGAGCTGCGTATGTGTGTACAACGTTGTATCTGGTAACTTCGAGCGAATGCTGAAACAGCACACCAATGATGTAAAAAACGAGAGGGTGCCATCAAACATCTTCCCCGAGCATGCACTAGCCTCAAATCATGAGATAGATTGGGGCAGGGCACGTGTCGTCGCTACCGAGAAGGACTTCTAGATTGTATCTGGATTCACTAACAATACTGACAAGAAAAGGCACACTCAACCGCACGGATGGATCTGTCCCCTGCATACGCAAGATGTTTAGGCCACGTGCTGCAGACTATTTAAAGACTTAGCTTCCACCTTTCTATGTCATTGTGAACAAGGCTCCATTCTGGGTGCCGAAATGTAATATTTTTATTTTGTTGTGGTCGGCATTCTTGCCTTTTTATTCAATGATTTTTCCTCACCAGACGGGCATCCGTCGAAGCCTTGATTTTGTTTATAAGCTAGCATGCTAAGCACTACCGAGTGTAGACGAAGTAAAAAGATTACATCTAAAGGCTAAAACAGAACTTTTAATGGTGAGGTGGAGGAGGAAAAGCTTTATTGGGCAAATGAGGTTGGGTTCTTTTTGGACACTGGGCCACTGCATGGCCATCACATAGCACGTATGTGTCACTGGCACCCTTGCGTCTCAAGATTGGGACGAACATCTGTGCGTCCAGATCCTGGCACAAGGAGGGCCTCCTATTCCTCCCTAGTGCTGATGGTGGGCCACCCCTGCACGGTAGGATTGGCAGGGCAGCCAACGATAAGGTGGTTAGTTGACTCTCCACAGAGAGTACACTCCGGAGACATGGGGCGGAAATGGGATAGGACGGGAGAAGTGGGAAGGATTCTCGTCTGAAGCCGCATCCAGATTATTTGTTGTGGATAAGAAAGACGAGCAAGGCATGCTTGTTGGGTGAGTTTGATGCTTCGCTGTGGTGGTCTAGCGGCTAAGGTCCTCGGCTGCTGACCTGCAGGTCGCGGGATCAAATCCCGGCTGCGGCGGCTGCATTTCCGATGGAGGCGGAAATGTTGTAGGCTCGTGTGCTCAGATTTCGGGTGCACATTAAAGAACCCCATGGTGGTCAAAATTTCCGGAGCCCTCCACTACGGCATCTCTCATAATCATATGGTGGTTTTGGGACGTTAAACCCCACATATCAATCAATGGGTGAGTTTGATGAACGTGTGTGCTCGCTCTATCGAGAAATCCCGGCTTGGGTCGCCGTTTGGCGGGATAAGTCCTCAGGCTATGTTATCGGCGGTGTCATTTCTGGAATCTTCAGCGTGACCCGGCACCCACATGAGTTCTATAAGCCTACCAGAATTCACGGTACAAACCCTCAATATTTTCTATGCGGGAGGATGGATGCAGTCATGGGCATAGTTAAAAATTGCCATTTTGGAATCGATAAGTACGTAAGTGTCATTAGTTTTGGCTATCGCTAACGCAATTGCAGCTTTCTCTGCCTCCTCCGAAGTACAGGGGGGGGATGAAGAATTGGATGAGAAGGGGGTTGGGGGGGGGGCTGCAGGATAATAAGCATCAGCTATGAAATGGTTGGGACCACATGTGGCATTTACCAAGCACACATCCTCTAATGTGCCATATGTCTTATGAAGTAGCTCGCGCTACTTGGCGGGATTGGTAGTATTCGGGGTGGACGTTCCTGGGGAGAGATTTGACAACAAGTGCGGGGATGCGCATGTCGCGAGGATGCGAGACTAAATCTGAAGTACGTGTGGGTATACGGATTTCGATTGAATTGAGTATATAATGTCCTGTTTCCCACCTAGCCAGACAAAGGCTCTGTGTGTGCATCAATCAGTTTCTGCACTGTGTTGCGCATTCCCAGTTTAGGAGCCTCTCCATGTTGGTATTCTTTGGCAGATTAAGCGCTGCTTTGGTAGCCATGCGAATTAGAGCATTTAGTGTGTCTGTGCAGGATAAGTTCAAGTAAGGAGAAGCATATCGTCAGTGTACAGTGTATGTCCGTAATTGTGAAATGTGGCTGAGAACTTCCGCCAAGGGAATCGGGGTGATATTAAAAAGGAGCGTGGATAAAAGCGACCTTTGTGGGATACTAAAGGAGAAGGGCGGCATTTGTATATCATCGATATGCAGATAGGCGGTGCACTCATTTAGGAATTTGCCCGGATGTATTTATAGGTTCTAGGCCCTAAGCACAGCTTTTGGATTCTCTGTAGGATCTCACTGTGCGTAACCTTGTCAAACGCTTTGGTGACCGGTCTATCGCCAAAACTAGTCTTGTTTGATGTACCAAGGCTACTGGATGAAGAAAAAAAGAGCGCCCGAGCTCTTTTTTATCCAGCGGTCGTGGATGTACCATTCTATTGAGGATTGTGTGTGAAGTCTGCAACAGGGCGCCTTGTGCAGAGAGGTGGGATCGAAATCCCATCATGCATAGTCCGTGCCATTCCGTGTAAAGCTTGAGACAGGTGAGGATAACTTGCTCGAACAGCTTGCCGAGGCGAGAAATCAGAGTTATGGGACGAATATTGTTCACCATTATTCGCTTACTTATATTGGATTAAACTTATCTTTGCGTGCTTCTATTCAGCTGGTATCTCCCCTTTCTTCCAGCACTCATTGAAGTAATTAGAAGAGAAATAAACAATCATCTAGGTTCCGGAGCATGGCATATTGATCTGGTCCTCTCTAGGAGTCAAGTTCTTGAGCTTAAAAAGTGCAGCTCTGACTTCCGCCTCCTGTATCGGGGAGCCGAGGGAATGTTGATCGAGACCAATGTAGTCGGATTAGAATATCGCTTGGCCCACAGTGGTATAAGTTGATTTAAGTTGGTTTAACAATACCTGTTATTCTATCGAATTTGGTGGGCAAGCCTTTTGAGTGTGAGCCGCATTTGCTTTATAGTTTGAAAGGGGTCTGTCATGTGTCAAAGATTATGATGATCATCATCATCATCAGCCTGATCACGTCCACTGCAGGACAAAGGCCTCCCCCATGTTCCACCAGTTAACCCAGTCCTGTGCTTGCTGCTGCCAATTTATCCCCGCAAACTTCTTAATCTCATCTGCCCAGCTAACCTTCTGTCTCCTCCTAACCCCCTTGCCTTCTCTGGGAATCCAGTTAGTTACCCTTAATGACCAGCGGTTATTCTGT